GGGGGGGGGGGGGGGGGGCGTCTCCAGAGAAACGAACATATGACGTTTCTCATGGACAAAATCGATATGTGAGGCTTCCCTTAGCGGTTTGGATTGCAGACTATTGACTGAGACAACAATACTTCATGCAAATTTGTTTTATATTAAATTACTTTAGAGCGAGAATAGTTTTGCGGCCTTTCCCGTCGTATGACTCGCATTACTAATAAACAAGAGCTTTTCGCGTGTTTTTGAATGTGTTTCATATTTCTTTTATTTGTCTTTTACAGCGTACAGGCAAGCATGTCTTTCAGACAATGGTCAAATATATTTATGCCGATCAAGATGAACGTCAACGTTGCTTCTTCACCGATCAAAAACAATTTCCTGCCAATCATGAATTAATTTGTAGCATAAAAATTATCCTTGATTGAATCACGCTACACGCAGGGGTCGAAATTTAATTTTTTTTGTACTATAGTCTATACAGCCAGAATAGTAGATTTTTATATTTACTATTCCGTGTGATGATCCACTATTCCTTAATGAATAATGTACTGTTTCTGATTTTCATGAAATCATCCTTGAGATTCCTAAAGTGAACTGAATAATTGAATAACAAAAAATAAACATGTACAGTCAGTGATGAACAAATTATTAATAAAAAAGAGTTCAAACACTGAAATGAACTTGTGAACTTTGTTGCAAAGTTCGCGCCCAATTTCCGAACTTGGAACTCGCAACGAACTTGGGAACCGCACGTTGAAAAGTGACTTGAAATCGACAATAATATTGCTGCAAAGAAATTAGAATATTACGCAAGTACTGCAAGCGAAGTAGCTAAGTCCAGTATAAAGTGATATATTATAAGATCAGGAAAACCCTTGCTTGTCGATATTTGGTACCACAATTTTTCTACTATACAAACGGAATACTGTGATCATGAAGTTTACTATTCCGTCACACATTTTAGTATATTCGGAATAGTGGGAATTTCGACCCCTGACACGTCATTACATTTGATTTAATAGGTGATCCCAATTTACTAGTTAATGTTGTGCACTGCCACTATAGCTGCAGAACATTAAAATTGGTCAGCAAGAGCTGGAGTTGTTTCTCCCAGCTCTGGCAGGAAAGTCAGAATGACAAGAAATGTAAAAATTTCAAAGAATGGTTTACAAATAATGGCAACATCACATTTGTTGAAAGTACATATAATCTCAAGTCATATCTGTTGTGTCAAACCATTTTTCCACTTTTTGGCTACTGCAAATGGCCAAATTATATTAGGTCATTATGTCTGTGTTCTATCTTATCACAGTTGTAATACAATTCCAAGTATGCTTTGATACACTGCATCACATCATTTTACTTTGCGCTGCAAAACTCAATATAATTTGTTGTATTCATGTCTTATTTTGCTCGTTTTTATTAACCTTTATGTGGCAATGTGCCCTGATGCACCCTACTTTATTATTTTACTCTGTTGAATGCCAGACAATTTTACTTGTCAAGGGAGAGTGCTGCCACTCAATGGGTTAAACATTTTGAAACAACTCTTGAAAAAAATACTATCAATATTCCAAACTATATGTACTTCGATAGAAAAGTGACAAATACTTGTGTTAGCTAAATTAATCAAAAGATATGTGGCAAGTTATATTCTCAACTTGGAAGCTTTTAATTTTTGGTGTAAGATGTCATTTATAAAAACTCCGCTTGGGGAATTCCACAAAATATTACCCTCAGTGATGATATTTACCTCAGTGATAAATATCATCACTTGGTCTTGGGTGATATTTCACTGAACCCCCCTCACACCAGGTCTATAAATGATAATTATATGATATGAAGGTCAGTATTATATTTATAGCATATCACTGTATTTAGAACATGTTTTGGTTTGTTTTTATATTGTACAACTGGCTTGCATTTTATCAGCAGTGGCAAGCATTTGCGCATGCACACAATAGAAAGTTGTCAAACTTGTTTTACCAAGTTTTTCATTTCATGTAGTCATCCTTGAATCTGGACGGTGGCTACATCAAGCAATTGTTGATTTGCTTGCAGTGGTTTCTATTCAGCTCAGCTAGAAACCACTGCTAGCAGGATACGAGGATTTAAATTTGTTGAAAATTCTACCTGACTTGGAAATGTGTTGGCAGCACTTTTATTATCAACAGGTTCTGGACATTTTTTTGTATGTTCAATAATGTTCATTAAACAATCAGCCATTTTAGTCTTTGTTTTTTGACCAGTTCTGTTGCAATATTTTGTTATACTGCTTTCATTCTTGTGGCCACTCACAGACATAATATGTTTTGCAAGATAACCGTATCGATTGAGGATAGTGATAGTGGTTGCTCGGATTGAGTGGTTTGTATATTCAACAGAAAGATTTGCTTGTACCGAGAGAACTCTCATCTTCTTGCCGAGTGTGTTTTCCCCAACAACATTGTTGTCGTACCAAACAATACCGTCAGAAGGACAATTTTCCCGTGGTCTTTGAAACAGGAACTTGTTCACAGGATTTAAATGACTCAAATATTTTTCAAAAGAGTATACAGGGCACAACGGACCACCACCTGCAATCATCATTCCTCCTTCCTCCCCGTCATCCAATTTTGTGGTATCACCAGTTTTGACGACATATTTCTGCCCTTGTGGATTTATTTTTATAACAAAGTCGTCTTTTTTTAACTGGCGAAGGTTCTGTCTACCTCGACGACAAAAATATAACATAATTTCAAAGAAAACCTTATTTTGAAGTGTATTTGGAGAATCTGTGTCAAAAAGTCCACATTCGTAGAGTCTCTTGATGTCTGCGTCAGAAATTGGAGGTTTATGTCCTGGTTTGTCAAGTCCAATACTCTTCAAGTTTACACACTCAGCTTCGTATGCTTTGTTAGCTCTATCAAATGCTTTATCCTTGATGATATCAATGTGAAGAAGTGCTTTAAAATGTCTGTTCAAACCAAATCTCAACGCACACAATGAATTCTTCGTGTACTTCGAGCCATCTTTCTTTCTCACTTCGGAGTAAAATTTCGGGAGAATAACTGCAAGTTCTTCACTTTTTTCAGGAAATTTTAACTCTTTTTCGTTTAGGTAGTCTTGGAAAATAGTTTTACTTCCTTTTGTCGCTCTTATCGTATTTGCAGACTCGTTATCTTCTGCACATGGGGAAGCCATTTTGTTTAGCTGTTGCGTGCAATAATTATCAAGTTATTGCAATACAGGGAGCCCAAGATTGAGAGTGGATCTGCGTAGGTGGACCAAACGGTGGGACTTTATAGGAGAGCGAACGGGACTCGATGTCCCATGCGAGGCACTCCCCGATTAAAGATACAACAACGGACAATATATGTAGAATAAAATATACATAACTACAGTCATAAATAAACATATGCCACCAACTCGAAAATCAAAGCTAAGATTTATGATCATGCTTAAAAATTTATAGTGATAGCAATTGAATACCTTGAAATGATATAAGGAACAATTGAATATAAAATTTTAAAATAATCAAGCAATAGCATATGTTTATCTCACACGCTAAACTCTATGACATGAACAAGTTCGATGTAATGACCACGTACAGGCCATGTCTACGTCTTAACAAGAGATTAGTTAAAGTACGATGACTAGCTGGAATGTACTTGTTAAACACAAAGGTACTTTGAGACAAATGACACATAATCAGAAATATTCAAATCATAATATCCATACATAGCTTTAAAAAAGAATTTTAAGTCCTTTATCTCTCTATCGTAAGATATAGCAGCAGCAGATTAAGGGCCAACAAACGATCTTTGTATGAGACCTCTCCTATCTTCACTTGAAGTATCCATCGTGTGTGCCGCCTTTGAATAATCCTCTCTAGGTAGGTTTTGTTGGTGGACTGAGACGGTGACCAGACTTCTGTAGCATAACCCAGTTGGGATTTCACTAAGGATAAGTATAATGTCCTTCAAGCAACGCAATCTGTTAACAAGGGGCACGTTCTCCGTAATAAGCCCAGCATTTTATTTGCCTTGGATACAATTTGAATGATGTGTTGATTCCAAGATAACTTTCTTGTCACAGTAATTCCAAGGTGAACCTCACTATCCACACACACCAGTTCAGTTGAACCAAGGTGGTACAAATTCATAATTACTGAAAAATATACTTGCATAGAATGGTCACAAAGAATAATTAGCAGATGCACCCCAATTGTATGCCCTGCTCTAACTATTATTTTAATTGTTTATTGCCAGGCAATTTTTAGCCTGAAACAGCCACATATTTCTGTCAACCACCTGAAATATGCATATTTTGGGTGGGTGACAGAAATATGCAGCTGTTTCAGGCTAGACAATTTTATGTCTCATATTAAAAAAAACCCTGCTGGAAAGTACATCACTTTAGCTATTATAGCCAAAGTGATGTACTTATTACAGAGATGTTTGAATTAACTAATGCACTACCGTAGGAAGCAATTTTGCATTGGGGAGGGGTGTTAACTAGTCAGGCCCACCATTATTAGGTCATTATTTCTGCCTCAAACTTTGCCAGATTATCACTAGTTTACAAATTATTGGGGGGGAGGGGGCTTCAGCTCCATGAGCTCAATGAGTTAATCAGACTGCAAGACTCTCCTTGATGAGTAAAATCATTAGGCATTTCTAATTAGATAGAGTAAAATGATAAGCTACAATGCACCCAATTGCACCTGACTTTAATGGGTTAATTTCTCACCGGTGGTTTGAACAGTTGCAATTCCCTCGGTCTGCCACGAAACATGGGCAAGTTCTCTGTTGGAACACTGCCAGTTACAAGCCCTTTTCTTGTAGGATCTAAAGGTCATTCAAGCAACATATATCATAGTAATTTGTTTATCGTCATACTTAGCAACATGTTATTATTTTTGAGAAACAGTATTCAGACAATTAAGGAATGCCATTTACTAATTGTTCCAGGAGGGTTGGGGACATGCATACTGTATGTTTTGTTTAAATCACAGTTTATATGGACTGTGTTTAAATACACCTTTAAATACACCATTAATGTGCAAAGCACTTTATATTGTACTCTTATTTATTATTTTATTCTGTTCAAAGACAGACATGCAATTACTCATCAAGAGAAGACTCCTGAACATTAATAGGTAATACAAGTTTCTTATGAAAAGTTATCAATTGCAGAAAGGTACTTTCTGATTCACAGAGATGGCGAAAAGTATGTTGCCACTTGCATATTTTGGTTAAATCCCAATTTATCATGTAATGTTGTTGCAAGGAGTATGGGTTTGTTGCAAGGAGTATTTGTATTGGTTGTGGGCACTTTCGTCAGGGTCTGGCGGTTTTTCCCCTGTTTGCCTATGTTGACCCGACCTCTACCCAGTACCCTGATTAATTCATTTACTGATTTAGTCCCTCATATCCCTTTAGAATAGTGAGTATATACGACTACCAAAGAACTTCAAGTATGACTGAGCACTTGGCTAAAGAAAGCTAAAGAAGTCATTGTTGTATTAAAACATAATATGAAACATCGAGTGAAACATAACAAAAAGGACAAACTTACTTTCCAAAATACAGTCATGTTTAAAATGTAATTCACAAAAAGACACTTTGTTCTTCTCAATGCGTTCCTTCAATTCAGGTGTTAGTGTTCTGTTCTGTAATATAACATTGATCCATTCTTGTCTGGCTTTAAGCTTTATTGCTGCAGTATATTCGCTCTCATCTTTACGTAGACTGGGGATTTTAAATAATGAAACATTATATCGTCCACTAGAACAGCAGCCATACAACACGCAATTACCGCCTGGCATAAAGGCAGCGCTCTCGAAATCTCAAAGGATTATAATTCTTGTTAATGTTCCAAGATTTTATAATTTCAGCCAGTATAAAGTAGAACATCGACTCCAAAAGAAACTGAGAAACCCCAAGTTTAGATTGGCCAGTATATCTATTCTGCTGATGCACATTGCACGCTACATATCACGTGATGCGTCGCTTGCGTGCATGAATAAGGAAGTCAAATAATGAGATTCTATTCTCTTTATTTTTAATTCTAGAGTCTAATCGCAGGTTCGATTCCTACCAGAGGACCTTGTGCTGCATTTTTCGCAGTCGTTCCTGGTAAAATGTATATGTTCTCACTTGGATTACAAACCCTAACATTCTAATGAGATTCTAATACTGTAATAATGAGATTCTATTGTTTATTTAAACATGTGCACTGAACTGGAGCATTATTATTCAATCACGGATTCACGGTGAAAATTAAACACAGAAATAATTTCAAAACAGATTAATTGATGAAAGACGAAGAATATGTTATTTTGATATTAATATTTTCTATCTAATTTGTTATTTGACAAGGTTTTTGATTTAAAACGACTAGTTGTTAATGTAATGATATTGTTGATATATTTTGAGAATTGTATAGAGATCCCACACGAATTGACGATTGACGAATATGACTTGTTTTGCGGTTTATAAATCTCGAAAATGTAAAAGCATATAAAACTAAAACCATAATATAACCTCACACAAACCTTCGTTGAAGTTGCTTTGAACCTATCAGACTTTGGGGGTTTTCGTCGACGAAATCTCTTCTTTGCCTTTGCCTTTGGCTTAGCACCAATGTCTCTGCCGGCTTCACCTTCAGGCAAATTATTAGACCTGCTAGAAGTCAATGCGAAAGATTCTGAAAAGTCTAGCAAATTATATGTTGGTAAACTTCCTGGTTTGAGAGTAGCTTTTCTAAATTGAGCAGGAGTTTCGTTGTTTGGCTGTCTGAAGTGTTCGTCACCAAAATGATGCGAGCAAATGGAGGAATTACTGCTAGGTTGAAAATTTTCCCTTCCTACCCGTTTTATCCACGCAGTTCTCAAACTTGAATCTTGTGGAAATTGGTGAAAACTTCTGTCCCGAGCATTTTGTGTAGTGGCTCCACAGTGAGGGATTGAGCAGACCTTGGGCATCTTTATTTAAAATCTAAAATCTCCACAGCAAAATACTTATTATTTTCCCAGTTGCTAGCCCGTTGCGAGGGAGAATTAGTAATTAGCGTCGTGAACCGGATGTTAGAATTAGTTTGTTAATTAAAAGTGTTTTTTGTTTTGTTTTTCATTTCGGGGCATTTTAGCGCTTTCCACTGTATTGTACGAACAGTTTTCCGGCAGAGCATGAAGAAACCGAGAGAGAGTAAGAAGCCAAGACTCACTAGTCAAGGGCTTTTTATTAACTTTTTCCCAGTCACATACAATCTAGCTTACCGAAGCGAAGGTTTACAGGAGGCTTGTCCAGTTGGTGACTGGGTCATATCTATCAACACAAATTTTGCTACTACTGCCAGCACTCACCCCGCCACAGCAGCGCATAACCTTCTAATATATTAGCCCATAGCCTAGGCCATAGGCATAGCCTTCATAGCGTGAATGGACTAAATTCTAAAACAATGATATGTGAGATTTATAAAGATTAAAGATGAAGTTAGCCTGCGTAGCTCAAGGTAGCCGGCTGTAAAGGTGAAGTAATCGTGAGCAACAAAATTACTGAAACATAGTGAAAGTGGTTTCATGCATGCATCAATCAGGACATCAGGCAGTAAAAGAAACCAGTCTCCTCCTGCAACCAGTAGTCAATACACTTCACAAAATATTGGAGGTTCAGGGCAACTGATCCTAGTCCTGTAAAATTCAGTTGAACTTCTTAAAATTATTTAGTTTACGACTGTAGTTAGATTTTATTAAAGTTTGCGTAAACATATAGAGGTTTTTATTCGGCTTCAATATTATTGAACCCCTTACCTCCATAGTAGAGAGGTTCATGCAGATTTTGACTTCCACTACCATTATTCATTAACTAATCAGATGCATTTAATCTACCCAATTACAGGGGTAGATTTATAGGGGGCTGGGGTTTTCACACCCCTGTTGGCCTTGGTCAACAGGGGTGCAAAAAATTCAAATTCAGAAATATGGCATAATTTCCAATATTTTTCCTTTTTGAAGTCAAACTTCAAGCTCATAATTCAATGCCCATATTGCAGGAAATGGCATTTCTAGGGTTCTAATTTTTAAAATTTTCCGGGGGGGCATACCCTTGGACCCCCTAGGGAGCTTGCGCCTTCGGCGCTCGAGTCGTTAGGATTTAGGAAGCCAATTCATTTGCATGCTCTTCCACCACCCCCTACAGAATTATAAAGAAACACTTGGCTGCTCACTCAGCACCTCTGTAGAAAAACCTTGCTGGATTCACCCCTGCCCAATGAACCAATCAAATACATATCAAGCTTGTGAGAGGTACTGTAGTGTAGCAGTAGTGATAGCCAACTTTGAACCTCTATATATAGTCTCTAATGGTCTGCAATATGCCACTACCGGCTCACTACAACTAACTATGATCAGTAAGGATTGTTTAAATTTTGCAAAACAAAACATACATAAAAAACGCATTTTAGTGATTTTTAGTAGATTCAACAAGAAACATGAAGTGATTGACGATTTCTCAGCTTTTAGTCTGCATACTGGAAACAAAATTTGTACTTGTAGACCAGTAATGCATCCGCAAATCCCCTCCCCTGGATCACTGCAGGGCATTTGACTGTCCAGCCACAACTGGAAATTGTGGCAACAAAATGGCAACCTATATGAGCTAGCTGTTACCTGCATGACCATACCTAAATGGTGACATGTACTAAATATTAATCCATTGAGCTCCAGTGCCTTGACGAGTAAAATTGTTTGGCATTACCATAGAATAAAGATCCACATAGAAGGGCAACTTACGTCGGAAGCTTTGAAGTTTCTGTCCTCGCGCATGTCGCATTACGCATGTTGGCCGCCATTTTCCTAGCCAGTCAATGACATTTTCTGGCCAATAAACACGCTGTACTGGCTGGCTGCTCCGCCTTCTGGCCAGTAAACTGCATATTTTTGCATAAAAAAACGAGGACACGTTGCACCGCTGAGTTGCCCTTCTGTTACTGATCTTTATTCTGTGGCATTACACAGAGTAAAATTATAATAAAGTACGGCGCAATGCAACTTAATGGTTAATCAGGCAAACTACTACATTATTTACAATTATAGCACTGTAAGTGCCTATAAAAACAATAGTAAGTGACTCAAGCATTAAACTTACAATTTGAGCCATATTTTGTTACAAACAAGTCAAATTATTAAAGCACAACAAAAAGCATTCAAATGGTTGACTGAGTCCATATTAAATGCCATTGCCAATTGCTAGAATGTTCAACAACTGAACAGGTACTGTCCTTTAGTAAGAGGGGCAGGGGGGCGAAAGTGCCCTTAGAGTAAACATTCTAACCCAAAAAATATGAGGTACAACGATTAAAAAGTATGAATTATGTGTGAAATGGACGTAATATTGAAATATACGTGAAATTTTCTGGAATATTAGTCAAAAATTAGGTTAACTTTCAAATTTTTTGCCCTTGTTTTGGTGAATTAAGGTTCCGGAAAAATTTTTCGGAAACGAAATATTAATTAGTGATTGCTCTTACGTCAACATCGCTCCCTGTACCCTACCCTCGCTCCAGCATCCCTGCAACTGAACAACATGGCCATATTTCATGTGCAAATTCCAGTTGCAAAATCCCAGGGGTGGGGCATTTGTCCAGAGTATTAAGGGGCCGGGCATAGGGAATTGTCACTGATTTTCTGGCCCACAACAGGACATTCTCAATACATTTAACTTTTTTTCTGTGTTGGTGTTGTGTACTCAGGTGAATATGATGTCTGTGATGTTACTCTGCGTGTATATCCACACCGGGCAAGCTTGAAGAATATGCATGGCCACGGTGGGAATCGAAATATCACATACTCGAACCGACCTGACCGTGTAGCTCAGTTGGCAGAGCATTGGGCATTCCAAAGGTCGTAGGTTCGATTCCCACCGTGGCCATGCATATTTTTCAAGCTTGCCCGGTGTGGATATACACTCAGAGTAACATCACAGACAACATTTAACTTGTCAACACATGTAATTGCAACATAAATATATAATAATGAATATCAAGAATTAATACAACTGTATACAATAAAATATGCACAAACCTATCTACGTTCTTATATTTAAAACATTTTTATAGTAAAAATACAACTTACTTGCCAGTTGTCAACTTTAATTATTAGAAACTTTATACAATAAATATGTATGTAAACAAACATCAGTTCATATTAACAATGCATGCTCACCTTTTTCCCCTCTTTTGGAGCTACTGGTGTCTCTTCTTCAATACAGCCTCGCCTTTTAGATGAATTATTATGTCTTGTCAGGATTGGCATATTCTTAATATTCGGTGAACAACATATATTCAATGTTTAAAAATTTATTTACAAAATTGCCGCCATTTTTTCTTGCTTTTTCGTTGGTTTTCATCGCGCGTTTTTCTCGCGAGGATCGCGCGCAATATTCAAAAATGACCAATCAGATGTTTTGGATTTGATAGTAGTGAGCTTAAGCAAGTGACGTTTTTGACAACACGGACGTCGACCGGAAGTAAAGTTGACGTTTTTCACCAATCACAGCCCTTGACCCAGTCTTCTGACGTTACTCATGCCGTCCGTGTTGTCAAAAACGTCACTTGCTTAAGCTCACTAGTGTATCAGCCTCGTACCCCGGCGCAAATAACGTACTAAAAAACAGCAACACTACAGTTTTTTTATATAGATCAGTGGCTGAGCGAGCGCGCGGGGGTGCTTGGGGAGGACTTGGCCCGCGCGCTCGCTCTCTTAGCCACTGATCTATGTAAAAACACTGTAGTGTTGCTAATTTTTAGTACGTTATTTGCGCCTGGGTACGAGGCTGATTTGATATAATATTTCCTCACGCGACTTGTACTGCGGTAGTTTTTCATTTTTTGGAAGGAATATAGTTTCCACCCATCCATATACTTTGAGTAATTTATAGATATAAACGGATTTTATTTTGGAACTTTGCTACTTGAAGGTTAACCTGAGTTATTATGTCTGCCAGCTCAGCAAACAAGGTAAAAATATTACAATTGTGCTAGACTCTATGTTATTAAAATGAATAACGAATATACTCCAGATATTTCATATTTTGATTGGTATTATTACAATCTATACAAAGATAGCCAGGTCTCATGAACCCGCATGAACCATAATGTGTCCTGTAATGCACCTATCAAATTTTAATTCCACTAGGTAAGCCGTAAGGGTCCGGCTTTGGCGAGGATTTTGAAGTCACAAAAAATGTTTAGTTATACAACAGTGGGTAGCAAATATACGGGTACTTTTGACAAATGTTGTTGTCCTAATGGGGTGGGGAGGTTGACAATTTTTTTAAACTTAACATGTCAAAATCCCCGCCCATTGCTGGGCCCCTGACAGGGTGAACATTGATAGGTGCATAACATAATTAGCTTGCAATAATTTTGGTCAAAATTATTGCAAGACATATATTGCATTACAGTTCACATATAGTATTAGGGTGCAATGCTACTTAATAGGTTCATTGTGAAAACTGTCTGGCATTATAGACAGAATAAAACAATAAAGTAGAATGCAATGCAACTTTAGTTGACTGGTTAAAAACTTAAAATGCACATGTGTGCAGGCACCTTTTGAAATTGCAGGTACATTGGGTCGTTCCAGAAAAGATCCACACTCCCTCCACGGAGGAAACTTCTGCCGTCCGGAGGGGGAGGGGAGAAAAAATTGTTTCTGATAATAGTAAATGTATTAGGACATCCGAAGGGGGTAGGGGGGTTAACTTCCTATTTCCTCTGTGGGGGTGGTACATGGATGTTTTCTGGAATGACCCATTAATTTAATCATTTGTCACAACACAATCATTACACATACATCGATCTACAGTAAACAGAGGACACAAGTGTGACTGAGGAAAGGAACAGGACTTGCATCCCAATTGACACCTGACTCCAACATTAAAACTAGACTTTGCTGCTTGTTGCACACTGAGCACAATGACTTTCCTCATGATTTTGTGACGAAAGTACTGCAGGTGCACATAGAAATTATAGTCATTTGTAAGCGAATATCAATATTTCTAACTATTTCTCGAACAAATCACTAGCCTAACCCAAAACTTATTTTGCAACAGAATCATAAGGAGTCTCAGGAAGGCCATGAGATTAAGTGAACAACAAGCAGCCAAGCATGTTAACTTAGTACATTACACAAATATTTACTGTCGTTCCAATTGAAGTGTTCCTCAAATATTGATTCAATACATTACCTCAGGCTGACCAATTCATTTCATCAAGTTCCTCAAGATATTCATACACTTCCTGTGAAAGAGGCAACTCCAAGTATTTGATCATTTCTGGTCACTTCCTTTCTATTTATGATTGGTTAGTTGCACAAACAACAAAGGTGATTGGTGCATTCAAACTATTCAACAGGAAGTTTACAATTATACTAGGAAGTGTATGAATATTTCGAGGAACTTGATCAAATGAATTGGTCAGCCCGAGGTAATGTATTGAATCAATATTTGAGGAACACTTCAATTGGAACGACAGTAACTTTTATAACTTATGAATCTAAGTAAAGCCAGGAGGGCTGTAAGAAGTTAACTTAGATACATGATTGACATTTCATTAAAATCCAGCCATTTTAGCAATAATTAGTTCCCAATTTAACCTAATAAAATAAGATGCATTTTGCAGGCACATTCTGAAATAAGTTAGGTCAAATTAAAAGTAATTCTGTTTTTCATTGGTGTCTGCCCCTAATTTATATATTTTTTTAATACTCAGTAATTATGCAATATCTTTTTCACAATGTTGTGCTAGTAGAGTGCAGTATGGTCTTGCATAATCAGACATCAGGATTAAATTACTATATGGACAAGGAAGTAGGGCATACAAAGATCTATGATAGATCTTTCTGAACTTTAAACATGCAATAGGTCTTGAGTGTGACTATCTCTTTCACAAACAAAGTGTATGATATAGAAATTGCATGATGTCTAATGTCCATATTACTCAACAGACTGTAAGCTTAGACCTCTTGCAATGTGTAACAGCAAGCTTAAATGTCCAACATCATGTAGGCTTAATACCTTTCACGACAGTTTTTTTCTACAAAGAATTTTTCTGCTGTGTTATGTGAGCTGATGAAGAAGTGGTATGTCAATTAGGCTGCCTCATTTTCTCTTTACATCTCACACAAAGGGTTTTACTGATTATTGATTACCGACGTATAACATGTAAAAGATCTGCTAAAGATTTGAGAGTTAAGAAGACTGCTGAGTTTAAATTCGATGAAGTTGTCAGCTGTGAAGTTGCTAGCTATCATGTATGAGTTGGGGTGAGACAAAATTGTTTCATCCCTGCTTTACAGGTTTTAATGCAC